TAACGCCGACGTCGCAACGTTCGCACCAATGTTTGTACTGAATCGCCCAATCCACGTCGTGTCAACGGTTTAGGAGCGCCGCGCTCAGTGTAACTTTGCGTGAACTCAAGCTCTCGGATTCTGTCCGTTCTTTCGAGATTTGGAGGATGACAATAAGCCGCTTTCCCCACTGTTTTTCATGCGGGTTTTATTTCTTTCAGACTTGTTGTGAGCCAGAGGTACTAATTCGATTTCCTGCAGACAACATTGAAGTGGCAAAATTCATGGCCCATTCACCTAATTTTCTCTCAAGCTTTCACGAGCCTACATTTCAGAATTTCAATTGTGGGGGCATTGAACAATTGGCTGTACGGTAGTAATTCAAATTCTAAATCACGTAGTTTACAATCCCCCAAAAATGAGCCTAAATAGTGTCAACCGTCTCCGCATAGGATATAAATCTGCTTAAGTATGTATCTATATCCCACCTCGCTCTATAATGAAGTGTCAGTGATACTTAGAGGGATTTTCGATCAAGTCAAACTTTTGGAAACTCAATACTGCGAAAGCAAAATATCAAAGGATTTTTGCGCTGAAAAATGGAAAACTGAACAACTTAATTTTAAGGATGAATACTTGATTCATCTCAAAATAACCTTTAATGGATAGAGGTATTCGCATGCCATGGGACAATGGGACATCCAAATTCATCATTTTTCTGGCAACTCACGTATGCGAATTTACCAGTCTCACATAGGGGAAAAAGTATATAGGATGGTTAAAATTATGGAGGCTTGTTAACATTTTGGAGACAGCTGCCGGTATTGATTTGTGGTTTCGACACGAGAATTTCTCAAATAAAACGAGGTTGAACCGAAACATGTATGGATTATATCGGACAGTCAACATCTAACCTAAATTCTTTTCATTCTCCATGAAAATGTATTGATATTTTTATCCAATGATTAGAATGCTTGAGAATTGGGTTTAAAAGATCACAAATACCTCGTTAAAGTTTTACTCCACACTGAAAAAAAGTTACGGGCTATACAGATATACCCGCCGTTCCAAGCTCAGAGGCTGAAAGTTCCGGGTACTGGAACTGAAGCTTCCATTGCTTCAGGTGCTACGCCCAGAACTCTCGGCTTCTAAGCCCGGATCTCGTACTGTATTCTATATAGCCCGTAGGTACGGTTTCCACGGCCGGAGTTTTTCTTTCAGTGCAACCGAAGTGGACAGGATTGATTCGCTTTTCTTCTTTCTTTGCGTCGTGTCATGTGATTCGCATCCCAACGCAAAATTTTTGTTGGTTTATTGAAAGCTAGGCAAAAGGAGAGGGTATGTCCTTAGAGTCCCTTTATACTGAGAGTCAAGACAACACCCCCCATGGAGTCACAAACGGGAATAAAGATTACAGAAATTGAACGTTTTTCGTAATCTTTGATCGGCCCATTCTCAAATTCCTCTCTCCGTTCCTTCTCTCATTCCGTTTTTTCCTTGCCGAACCCATAATTCCCCGGTCCATCCCAGATTATAATCTTTCCAATCGGCAAAAATGTAATCTTTACTCCCGTTTGTGACACCGTGAAGGCCTAAAATACGGGAACCAATCAGAAATGGATTCACGTTGTCTTGACTCTCAGTATAAAGGGACTCTAGGTGTCCTCGGGAACCGTGATAAATGAACGTAATTTTGCCCGTGAGTCCATGCCCCAACTTAGTCCCGCCGAATAAGACTGAATTAAAAATTTAAATTTTAATCGCGTCCCGCTACAGTTTCTGGCATCGGCTTGGTTATCAAACCGTCGAGATTTGACCTTATTTTTCTCGTGGTTATGTTGATTCAGAGTTTTGGTAACCTTTGGTTTTTCACGATGGACTCATCTGATAGCAGTGGCGACACCTGAATGTTGGCAGCACTGTTCTTCCTTCATCTATTTGTATGGAAAACAATCGATTCTAGACGAGGCAGCGAGTCGATCGTTGAGTCGTTATCGAATGAGCTTGATCGACAAATCCATATCTTGGCAATGCTTTCTATCGATCAAGGTCATTTGATAACGACTCAACAATTGACCTGCAGCTTGCCTCACCCAGTATCGATATTATTAATGGATTTAAATGGAGGAAAAACTGAGTTGCCAACTTGCAAAATCGCCACTGCCTGATAGCAAATCCAACACAGCGCATTCAACTCATCAACACTAAGCAGCAGAAAATTATCGGAAAAAGCTGACACAGAAGTACATTTGAACCTCATTAAGCAGAAAGGAACTACGCCAACCATCAGTTATTGCCTTTAAGTGGGCAATGTAATTTTTACCTGAAAGCGGTTGTGCGGATTTTTGTGAAAATTTCAATGAATTTTCTGCTTATTACGAAGCAAAGTCCTTAGAATTTATGCAATTATTTTTACGCAGGACACTTCTATTAAACTATTAACCCACAGTTGATGTTACCCCAAGAAGTAAAGGCCATGTGAATAAGCTTAAAAGGAACTCTTAAAAGAAAAGGAAATCAACGCGGGTGCGAAGCTGAATATGAAAATGAAAAACAAACACAGGAAGTATTGCTCTGCTCTTTGGGAATGAAAATGCAAGAAATAATTCTAAGAAACCAAAACGAACGCGATGTCGACGCGGATGGTTGAGGAGAACAGAAAAATGTTCTCTTTTTTTTTTTTTAAAAAAAAAGACGCAATATAACTAGCTACCTCAAGCTAAAAGCTGAGTCAACGCAAGCGCTACCAATATTCGCCACTGAAAACGTAACTATTCCTGCTTTAGGGATATGCGTGGTGCATGTACCGAAAATTGAAGGCGTTCCGGCCTCTTTGAAATTCGGTGCGCACGTCGGGGATTCACCGCGTGATACTTGTTGGGATCTCTGAAGGGGCGATACACCTGCGGGCTAGACGCGCGTCTTGGGCGGCGAGTAGGCCTTCGGCCGTGTTCGGCAATCTTCGTAGCCAATCAGGTCGCAGCTCGCCACCCGTAACTCCAAAGTAGGATCGGATCCTACTCTTCGGGTCAAGACGCGCGTGTAGCGCGCAGGTGTATCTGGCTCTTGACTCTTTCAGTCGAACATCGCCACGATGGTGTTTTGTTTTCTTTTTTTTTCAAGAAGCACCTCTTTTTATTCTAGCATAACAGGTTTAGGGATCCAAGGTTGACAAGGGTGCGACTTAAGTTGCCTTTAATCCAATAACGAAAAGGGGTCGAAACGGTTCGTAAGTGGAAACGTGTCGAAACCAATGAGGCACGAGTCTCTTCATTAAGTACGCAAATCCGCTTCTACGGAAATGCAGGGCTACAGGTCTTAATGGATACACAACCGGTGCTCTATTTATCGACAAATGGAAGAAAATTCAAAGATGAAGCATCTATAGTTCTAGGATTTGTTGTTGTATGTGTCCCCGAGAAATGACAGGGGTGCATTTTCTTCTTCGGTGTATGCCGGAATCTGCAATCCAAAGTTTCAATGCACGCACTATTATGGTCTCCCCCATCCTCCTCCCCCCCCCCCAAAAGAAAAAGAAAATACAAGCCTTCGCAGCAATTTTGAGTAGCATTAAACGCGATCGCAGTAAGTTACACCAAAAGTGCTTAAGCGTATCATAAACAATGAACTTCCAGTGATCTCTATTTAAGGCTATCAATATACAGATCGCATTTAACAAGACGGAACCAGCGCGATTACAGTGTTTTCAAAATAGTGCAACTTCTTCCTTTATTTTAAAAGTACTCAAAATATGCATAGTATTAAAATTCACACTACTATTTTCTTTTAAAATTAACAATTTTTCGGTGAAGCAAAAACTATTTGCTATTCTGGGAGATATTTTTGATATTTATGAAGAAGCAACATTTTTACAACACTGTAATCACGCTGGTTCCTTTTTGATAAATGCGATCATATGTGAATAAAGAGAAGACAATTAGTTAGATTTTATGTACACTTTTTAATAATGACAATGATCTATACTTAAGAGGGTGCACAGTGGCGTGGCGTGCTTTTCGATCTATTGATATTTCCCCATTGGAAGCCGTGGTAAATAATCGATTATCAAGGTGTTCGCTGCGAACACCCTGTTCATCGATACTTTTCCATAAGTTTAAATGACAGATCAATCGATATATCGCAAAGCACGCCACGCCACTGCAGTGCAACTCCATTATAGTAACAAGATTTGTTATTCATTTTTTATTTTCTGCCCTGTGGTAGAGCTTTGGCCTCAAAGCGTCGGTACAAAACAGCAAAGTTGCAAGTTGAGAAATGCTCAACTTCGAGAGTTTGAATTGTCTCGCCGAACACAGCGCCGTCGACATGAAACGCGTATTAGCGCTTACAAGAGTGCAGGAATTCTTCACCCATTGCGCCAAACACAGTGCGGTTGGCAGAGACGCATATTAGCGCCTACGAGACCGTAGGAATACTTCACGCATTGCGCCAAACAGTGCAGTCGGCGCGCGCGTATCCTAGCGCCTACAAGACTGGAAGAATACTTCATGCATTGCACCAAACAGTGCAGTCGGCATGAAACGTATATTAGCACTTACAAGTCTGTAGGAATACTTCACGTATTGCGCCCACAACACGGTGCGTTCTTTAATCCGTGAATATTTGTAATTTCTTGGAGTCTGACTGGGTGGTGTATACAATTTCCAACCTGTACAGAGTGTTTCACGAATAATGTGAGGGTGCAATGATTGCATGCAATTGTTTTAGCCCGAAAAGTTTTGTCTACTTTTTTCCAGAAGGGTTTACGTGAATCAGTTTTCCCCTGCGTTTTTTTTTTTTTTTTGAAGATAATGGAATATATTTTTGTATTTTTACAATGGAACAATGGAAGGACATATTAAGGGACCATGGAGATAGATACCCTCGGACTAAAGGTCGTATCGTGTTAAGTGGAGAAAATTGTTGTGTTAAAATCAACAAACCCGATTCACACTGAAAATAAATGCGTGCCCCATGAATTTTTTTTTCGTGTCATCTTAACACCAGTTTGTTTCTGGCAGGTTGAAAGTTCAGGACTGTGATGGTCACTGTAGCTTTGTTGAACGTCTCCTTGACAATACTCACTTTGATCGGCGCCTTTTTGAATTGCTACATCCTTCTAGTCGTTCTTCTCAGCAAACAGGTATGTGGCTATGTATAGCTCCTATGTATAAATCACCTTATATTTATTTCCTCATTCCTTAACGCTGCCGCTGCTCTCTTCTGGCGTCGCGCTTTGATCTAAGACATGAGTCAGGGCTTTGTCTTAAATTGAATCTTATTTTACAGCTTTCGTTCTGGGAGAAACCAGAATGCTACATTGCCAGGATTTGATTGAGGAATTTTCAATTTTCTCATCAGTAGAAGATGTGCCAATTCTGGGATCTATGATACCCAGCAAGAAATGAGGCGAGATCGTGATAGTGGTGATTGGGAGTCGCAGAGCGCTCGAAAGCGCTGCAGAGGTGGCAACTACATATAAATAGAGTAGATTCGAAAGATTCCTAGCAAAGGCTTAGGATTGGATGTTACGGTGCTTGATGAGCGCGAGAGGAGTAGCCAAAACGCCAAGAGACAAAGTTCCAAATACCGAGAGTTGAGCTTCGTGATATAATTACAGTATCTGTGAAGGTCTCATTTTACTTAACTTTTCCTCTTTTTGCTCTTCGATTTCTAAAGCTTTAGAGAGCATCGTTCGAAGTCATCTCAGTCTCAATATCAATTTGAAGAAGGAACCTGAAGGTTTAGTCTTTCGTCGAAAATTTTCTAAAAAATATGACTTTCCAAAATTGTATCGGTTAGTCAATGATTGCGAGGAAATTTCACGTATATTGATGGCGAGATTCCTTAACTCTAAACATATCGCTAACAACACCATAATACTGGTATACCTTTCGTCTAGATGCAAATCAAATCTGTATTAAATGAAAACGTGATAAATTTCAATAATGTAATGGGCCACCGAACAAAAGGTCTAGACNGGGGGGGGGGGGGATCACATGTATTCTTCTCAAAATATTAAGTAGAAAACCAACTCCTGAACGAGATATTAACAAGTGTTTTTCACGTAGATAAAATAGAATAGATTATACCAAAGATGTCACTTGTATTGTTGCCATTTAACCAATGTCGATTGTAAATACTTGCATCTAGTTTAAGAGGTGAGCGCCAGGTTTCCCATTGTGTGGTGCGTTTTCCTTGTGAAGAAAAACATGAATGAAGCATGGTGGAATGCAATGAGACACTGCGCGTGTTTTAGTTCATCCCTTGTTTAGAGGCCCGTCTCATGCAACTATTTTTGTATTTAAAATAAATCCTTTACCGCGTATTGCTGAAGATTTCTCCGTAAGTCAATTATAAACTGATATGTAGTCATGACGATATGACTATATGAAGATATTTAGTCATGACATGCCTGTGTTTTTGATAATTTATCCTGGGCATAAGACGCAGAGTTGTCGCTGAGCGTTCGCTTGGAATCGGCCAACTTTAATGCTCAACTGAGAATAGCAGCCCGATTTTTTTTTTTTAATCCAGCCCCGGTGAAACGAAGTAGAATAAAGTTCCCTCAATTCAGCGAAGAGTCGTCAAGTCTGACTGAGACACACCTGTGGAGCCTCGGAAGGGGGAAAATCTCACGAAGAAGGGAGGCACTGCACCTCACAGGCCGGGTGTGGGTGGGAGGGGGGTCGAAAGGCGGCCGGGGCTGAAATCAACAGTGAAGTGCATCCTCACCCTCACCTCGTATGTTCTTACGTTCAACTTGCGCCACTCTTTCAGATTGATGCTCTCCTTGCTAAGTGCGAAAAGTAATTCATCAGCTGCTTGCTCCTCACATTTTAGTTCTTGATCCCGTGTTGTCAGATTCCATCCCTACCTTCCCTCATTTTCGGTAGGTCATCCCTAGTGATAGAGAGATTTTCCTTTCCCACTTTGTGAAATCTTGATTCTAGTAAAGTTCAGCTTATTCTATCTTATATGCCTAAGATCAAATTTCAGTTTTTGTAGCCCGAAACTTTAGAAACCCTCATTGCTCTTATTTATGATTAGAGGGTGTATCGACGGTGTAAGTCGGCAATCACATAACTCGATTTGCGACGTCGCAGACTTCCTGTCATACTTTATTTTTTAAACGGAAAATTACTCAACGGCAAGTCAGTAAAACTGTCGTGAATTTTCGTCTCTGTGCGAAGAAAATTCTGCAAAAACTTCCAGAATGATGTCAATTTTGTCTCCTTTAAAAAAAAATAACATAGAGGCGGATTCCTGACACCGCAAACTAGATATGTGATTGCGGACTTACGCCGTCGATATTTCATTAAGTTTTAAATCTTGTAAAATCTGGTCCCTCCAAATAAAGAAGGAACTGAAATCACTGACGAACCTAGAAAGTAAATTTGCTCAAATAACTGAAGGCTCCATTTGCTTTAAGTATTTTTTACACGTAGAAGAAGATAACATTTTTCCTGCGTTTTAGCTTTGTTTTCTCTTTTTTATTTACTTGCGTGTTTTAGCCTGCTCATTACGTAAGTATAAGAAAAATGTTCGCAGTGAGTGAATCTGTCAGCTCGCACGAGATATAGCCGCGTGAATATGAGTCCTGGGATTAAAATGACACGAAAAAAACGATGATCACAATTAAAAGACGTCTGAAATCCATAGCTTTTTTGCGTTTGTGCGTACTTTCCAAGTATACTAAATAAAAAATGAATAAAGTATAGAGAGGATTTATAAATTCGTTCGTTTGCAGCATTTTTTTCATCATTTTGAGACAATTCAAACACTATCTTATAATACAAATTGAAAAATGAAATTGAATTTAATGTGAAATTCTTATAACTTCCATTCAAAACACCATCAAAATTCTGAATTGAAAAATTATAATTTAATTATTTAATTAACACGGTGTCGTTAGTAATACGAAATAATCAAAGACATGAATTCATCACGCACCATAGTTAAAGTTATCGGTTTAGTGACCAAAGAACACACATGTGGGGTTTTTTTTTAATCGCTTCCACTTCTTGCTGTAACGGAGGTTTTGACAGAAGAAAAAGTGCCTTCATTTCGTTGGATAGCCCATACGCGTTCCTCAACGTTAATATAACTGTATCTTTCCTTCTAGTGTCATTAATAATCTATATTTTGAAGGCGTTTCGCGGAGATTGAATCAGCTGCTTTTGTTCGAACTTTTTTGTCGTTTAATGTTAACCTTTGCTGCCTATAGTTCTCGCTTCATCAATTTTTTGGCAGCCGAGGTTCACCATTATTTTAACTTCTCCAAAATCCGTAATCGCCATGTTCCTCCTCTCCCCCCCCCCCCCCCCCNAGCTAGTAGAAGAGAAAGTAGAATTTCGCAAATTGTAAACCTTGAAAATAACGATTTCTACGGACACTTTGGGGGGAAAATTTAATGGGCGGGAGGACTTAAATCTCAAAATTTTTCATAACATAATTGCACTTCATCACAAAAAAAAGAAGGAAAAGGAAGGAAAAATATCCAGAAATTCATATCACTATACAACTAATGACCATGAAATGGACCGCGTTAAACAGAAAGGAACCAAGCCACATCAGCTATTGCCAAATTTAATCGGGCATTTTAATTTTTACATGAAAACGGCTGTGCGAATTTTTGTGCAAATTTTAGTGAACTTTCTCCATAATACAAAGCAAATTCCTTAACATTTTCAAAGGAATCTGCGCAGACGTTCTCTCGTAAAAAATGAAATCTCCCTGTTAAAGTTGACAATAGCTGATGTGGCTTGGTTCCTTTCTGTTTAGCGCGGCCCAAATAAAACTCATGTATAATTACAATTTTGCACCGTTACAAAATAAACTTTTAGCGTATCGCCAAAATAAATTAATTAGTCATGAAGAAAGCAAAAATTAAATTAAGCGTGTGTAGGAATACTCGTCAAATCTTTGCACTGATTATTCCGCTCACTCCGTCGCTCCTCTGACGTAAGAACGTGTCTCAATCTCAGCGTGAGCCCTGTTCTCCGTACAACCCTATGCTTTCCGCGATTCATGTGGAAATAGTGATAAGCTCTTTTTTCAGAGGAGTCACAAATTTCAGTTCAAGCGTCTATGCATGCGCGAAGAAAACTTGATATCAGGAGTGCTTCTAGTTTTAATAAATTTCCAGACAGTTTCGTGGAAACTTTGGGATAATCCTCAGAAACTCTTAATGGAAAGTTTCAACACAGTTATAAGTTGATAGATTACGGAAGTTTTTGTCAGAGAAAGAGTGCACCGGAATAGTTCCAACTGCGTTTGCAGCGTTTTCAAAGTGAAGTGGTACATATCACAGACTCAGATAAACTAAGGATCAAATTTTTCAATCTAGTTTCGTCAACATTATAGTATCTCTCCTGCATGAGGATTATCTTTCTAATAAAGGTTAAAAAAATTCATTTCCCCAGTCCCTACAAATCTCGTCGTGACATGATTATCTGTCAATTAAAGAGTCCCTCTTTACTTTTTCCCGGAAGGATGCAGATTCTAACACACCTCGATTGACTAACCAAAGCTCTTGCTTTTTTCTGTAATGTAATGGATTTCGTTCTACTTTTAAGCTGTTTGCAAGATTTTTCATGTTGCATCAATTATTTTTTACGCAGCAGGCACATTTAATTTTGTTGCGAGGCATAATATCTCTTTTCGCTGTTGTGTAAAAACGCTGGAATGAAAATGTGGATAGGAAGCCAAGGAAAGCTTTTTCCAGGCGGGTATGGTAGAAAGCTTTGAGGAAAGTCCCGGGAGCGAATGATACGCGTCTTGGGGAAAGCTGTTATATAAACGACGGGAATAATTTTTACGTCGTCCTGAACGGAGAATCAAAGCCGGCTGGCTATGATTTATAGGCCAGATTAAGCGATCCAGGCGAATTAGACGCGGGAGTGCTACAAGGCCGAACACCGGCTACAGCCAGGCTCCGTCCCGCTAAAGGCCGGTAATCTCCAAAATCATTTCCATTGAAATGAAGCGTTTTTATTACTCGACGATCGGTATTTTTCATTGCCATTAAAAGGTTTTTATAACGCAATTTACAAAGCCCGCCACGGACAGAAATTCATCCACCCAAGTCAAAGATGTCTTCAAGTTTCATCTTTCAACAGAGGTAGAAGAAATTAATTATAT